TATACACAGTGTATGGTGGCCAGAGCAAACAGACTATTAGTAAAATATACAACAACCCCTCCAGTAAGTAAACAGAGCACCATACTGCAAGCAACTGGACTTACAATGAGGAAGTAAGCAAATGGCATCCACTGGACAAACTCCCAAGTCAACCATTGGAGACAGGAAGTACAACAAACCGAACCAAGACTTAAAGGGCTGTGTTTAAGCCTCAACTCAACCATCAGAACAGGGAGTCATCCTGTACCAGGTATTACAATCAGTTAAATAACAATTCTAACTCAACCACAAGATCAGGGAAGAAACATCGTGCACACAGTATTATGAGGTGGACAAAGTCCCTCGAACTCAACCGTGGAAGTGATGAATCCCAATAAAACAGATAAGAAGCCATGGAGGAGGAGGTTGTGATGAAGAATTAGCAAAAATGGAGCCACCCTAAAGTCCCAGTGGGAAGACAGGAGAGGTAAACCCCTGCAAACAGCATATCTTTTCCTAACTAGTCCCAATGACAAAACAGCTAGGTAAGTAGGTCAAAGGCCAATGAAGAGGCCTCACTAAAGTCAACCACAGACGGGATCTGAGATCCTCTGAAAAATCATCGGGAGAATGACAAAAGGAGTAGAAACTCAAGTGAGTTAAGGCATACAAACCCCCAAATTTAACTGTAATAAAAATTGATGAGTATGAACCTCAATGTCAATGTGTAGTTTCATATAAACAAAAGTCACAAAAGTACTATACTATGACAGTTTTTCTGCTTTTAAGGAAAAAATGTTTGGTAGCATGTTTTCAAAAGAGACATAAAGTGGAAAACACAAAATCGTCTGAGTTAGGGATCTCACACAAAAGGGAAGGAGAGGCCTCATAGAAAAGAGGAGAAACAATCAAAATGTGACAAACCTATGTAATGAATGGAAAGAAAGGAGTAGAAGGTCAAACCTCCTCCAAAGTTGCAAGATGTGACCATATGGCAAAAGGAGGAGGTCCATGCCCCATGTTAGAATCTAACTCCCAACAATCAAGGCTTGCACCTCCTTGACAAATAATCTCGATCCCAAGGCCTGGATAAGAAGAGTGTGTCCAAGTAACTTCAGGAGCCATGGCAGTAATCATGGTAAAACACAAGTTCATAATTTGTAATAATTAGTGTGAAAATGGTAATTAAAGTCAGTAACACACCAGTATGTAAGAATCAGTAAAGTAAACTTGTGCAAAAAAAAAAGAATATGAACAAAGCTATGAAATATTGAAGAAAATAAATTATTGCAAACTGAAAGCAAGTGAGAAACACGTCTCACGTGTATTACACCAATCGAGAAAGTGAGGTTCACATTTAGTATAGAGGGAGTCAGCTGCTTTAGGAGAGTCTGTCATGCTCCTATTGGTGGAGGGTTGTCACATGCTCCATGCATGCTAAATGAGTGGCTCAAAGTTATGGGTTATAAAGGCTAGTGCACCAAGCAAGAAAATTTCTTTTCATGCATTAGAGGACAGTGGAAGATCAAGAAAAGGTATTGTATAAGCGGATGTATGGATTGTTTCGAAAGTTGTATTTTTTTTTTTAATTAAATGATTTAGTTATTCAATGGATATAAACTTTCATCTCTGCATATTCTTGATGTACATTAGTAAAATGCATATTGAACCTGAGCTTTTTTTTTATTGAAACTTTTCCTTAACATTTCAAAAAACATGTGCTTGAGAGTAATTTTGTTTAATTTTTTTTATGATATATTTATCTCAGACAACCTGCATGATAACTACACTCAATCTAAAGTAAGAACAATTCAAATACATACAGCTTCGAAAAAGTAAATTAACACACAGAAAAACTACATAATTAATATGAAGAGGAAGAAAAATTATGAAGAAATTCTGCAACATTATATTAACTACAACATTTCTTGAGTTTCAAGTAAGATTTTAAACTAATAAGATATGTATACGTGGTTACTGTAAGTGAGCCTCTAGCCTAAAGAATGCTATACTCCAACCATATATATTTCATAATAAACATTATATTTCACATTTTAGTACACTTTAATTCTGATGAATTTTACAAAACTGCATCTTTTCTCCTATTTACTAATTCATATCCAATGCTTTAGTGTAACTTTTTAGCAATGTTAAAACTCTCATTATAAAAAACAGTAAATATGTTATGATTAATTAGAAAAAAAGGTTATGAAACAAAGTCTTGTTTACCTCAGCTCGGGCAGTAATGAATTTTGCACATTGTTCATGTGCATTATCACATACAGAACAGAGCAAATCTTTCAGAGAGGTTGTAAGTTTATTGTATTCACTTTCTGATATTGTTACCTCCAGATCACTGCTTCTACAAACAGAAAATTTTTAAAAATGTATTTTCATAATGTTTATGAGATAAAATTTAAAAAAAGATAATAAAATACTAAATTTTGTATTCTTGTTTAATATAACACCACAAAAACAAAAGAACACAAAGCTAAAATAATTAATCATAATTACATGTAGCCTTTTTTTCCCCTATATCTCTGGCAAAGATCCAATAAAAATAATAATAAATAACTGTTAAAGCACATGCATTTTTTACCTACATAGTATTTCCAAGTATCATTAAATTATACAAAAATCCCATTTTTTCATTCAAAATGGTAACAATTTTAAACGTTTGTTTCCATGAAACTAAGCTCCTTCAGAGCCATGTTAATGTTTCCTACCTTCATCACGTGCAGACACATATAAACAAAGGCCACAAAAGTACTGTGCTTTGAGTTTTCTGCTTTCAAGGAAAAACTATTTGTAAGCATGTTTTCAAAAGTAACATAAAGTAATGTGAACAATAAACGAAACAGGAAAACTATTAAATAAGTTTCAGTTAGTGACCTACCAAAGTCCATATGTTTTTTCACAAGCCACGACATACTAATGGGAACACAATGATTTTTTACATACACAGGTGTCTATGACGAAGACAGAAAGTGCACTAAAACAACGTATGCAATGTTTGATTTTCATTCTATCAAGTAGCCTGAGTTAGCTAACCCTATTCTCATTGAGAGGGTCCAGTAAACCTATCTTCCCAATAAATCACAAATATAATAAAAAAGAAAGACCTCTGAATACATTGAAAACTCTAAACATGTTATTAAAAAGAATAAAACATGGTATTTTAAGTTGGTTTTCACTTTTAGTTATATTAATGTGTGTTTGTGTATGTATGTATATATATAACAGACATTACAAATCCACTTATCAATGAAAGCAATATAACAGAAAAAGCACATGTATTAGTTAAAAACAAATTTTAAACTCTAAAGTAAACTATAGTGATTTTACAACTTCAAATTGTTCATTAAACTACATATACAAATTTTTTTAACTCTTGGATTCACACAGCTTTCAATCAAGACTTCTGATTTTATTAATACCTAGCACATAAAACTGAAGAAAATTTACAATAGTATAAATTTTCATTATTTAACTTGTCTTCTTGATAAATCTTAAATCATACCATAGTTCTGTTTCTATTCAACATACACTGTTTAAAAATTTTTTGACTATAAAGTAAAATACCCAACACTTTTTTGTTGGTATTTTTCCATAGTTAACGAGCAATTTCAAAACTTGTTTGCTCAAAATATAAAAAAAACTGTAAGGTTACATTCTGCAAATCACTTAACTAAAATAATCCTCTGATTATATAACCAATATAACAAATTGTATAGGGTACTTAACTTGAAAAGTTCTCAAAATATCATAATTTTGTGATATGCAGGTTTAAGTACATACACTGTTGCTAAAAGTATTTCAATATCACTGTTGTGCCTCATTAGTTTGATTGTGATATGACAAAAAATAGTATATGTGAACTGACTGTTATTTTCCATCTGATACAACACTTGACCGCAGCAAACAAGATCAACTTACTTTTGTTAAATGTCAGTAAAAATGGAGACTTAACTGAACCTTTACTAAACATGGTAGTGTACTCTGATGCAAAGACAGTAGGGAATGTCCAGTCCATACAGTCTTTCTCAAAAGCATAGTCTTTCACTTTGCAATTTGTGTGACCAAGAACATGATAGTTGTTCTATTATATTTGACCATTAAAGCAGACTACAGACACAGGTGAAAGATATGACTTCAAAGGCATATTATGTACACTGCTTTGCACACAACTTAAACTTAATGGTTGTGGACACATGTACAAAGAATAAATGACAAGAAATTTTTTGGAGTAGTCCAAAAACAACTTTCATGTTATGAAGGCAGCACAAAATGGCATGATCTCTTCAAGAGTGTTCAACACCAACTGCAGCCTAATGGAACTGGCATACTTCAGTCAAAGAACACAATATATGGGTCAAACTGAACATAAAACTGTACCATAATTATCAACACAGTTACGTTTGTGAAATCTACATTTCTACTTTAGAATCTATTATTCTGATGGTAACTTTGACTATGAAACTGCTGGTGAAACTTAATCTCTCTTAAAGTTCAAATTCTTTCTGGTCTTTATATGTGAACTTTGAAATTATATCACGTGATTTCCATATATCTACAAGTTCAGGATATGAGCACTGCAATAACAACATCTCAACTTCACATGTTAGTTTCAGAACCCACATTTTTCAAGAGCTAAAAGTAATGATGTTATTTACTCAGTACCTTGTACTGAAAAGAATTATAATACTTTGTATCAACATTTTAAAACTCAAATGATATTAACTGCCAAAGGTTGTTACCGAGTCATATTCTTTTATAAAATATTGGAATTGATGCTAAATGCTATAAGATTTTGATTTTCTGAAAATATGTTGTCCCTCCTGATGCCGTCTGATTGTAGTCCCTAAATGGAAAATGAATTTGTTGCAAGCTGTGGCTACCCGCTATGTATGTGGCATCAACTGTGAACTTCTGGTTTCTGAAGCTGTTTGATCGATCAGTTGCTGAGGTCAACCACCCTATTAAACTGAAAAACATTCATCATATTTACTTGCATATGGTAAAAGAGGAACTCACAGAGATGAATCCAAACTTGAGTTCTCTTTGTCACCTGCTTCTAACTCTGTCAACAACATCTTGTTATAGATACATATATAAATATTTTTGAATTACAATTTGATGCTTGCTCTTGTTCTACAACATGAAACTTTGTATAAAAACATACAACTGTTAAATGAGCATGGCTGTATATAACTAAAGAAATGCACGTAAATATATTGGTGTGTGAATATCTGAAATAAACATTATAGAGTATTTGAACAAAAAAAAATCTGGGTGTCTGATAATGCTGACTGTACATAATTAATACAAACATCTTTTGAAAAAAAACCAGAAAAGGAACAACTTAGCTACATAATTCCTACAAAAAATAAAATTGTGATCATCTTTTGATGGTTCATTGATATAAAGTTATTAAACTTGTAAAGAGGTGGTTGCAGTTAACCTCTTGAGCAGTTGACAGTTGTGCTCATTGCAGCTATAATAATTAAATTTTTCTCTTGTTGAGTAGGCTTATATTTATTATCAACTTCTGATAAAAGCAAGCTAACTACATAGATCAAAAGTAAGAATCAACCCCACAATGAAAACAAATAATTTCATACACTTTTCTTACATTCTTACTAATAATAATTAGAATGCTTTGTTTCATCAGTTGAGAAACCCTGCTGTTAATGATTTTTAGCTGTAATCCCAGTAATAATTCATGAAACTCAGCAAGCTTAGGAAATTTAGGTTAGCTCTTAATCCATATACTAAGCTAACAATGCAGAATTATCCATGTAATAAAAATATGTAATAATAAAAAATAACGAAAATGGATATATTCACTGCAGTAGAATTACTACAAAAAACTGTATTATTGTTTAATGTGTACATCATCTAACTATTACCTTACTCCTTGATTCACCTTAACTGATCAGTGGTCATTTATTAGTTTTAGGAACCTTTTTTCTTCAGTTTAATTCTCTAAATACTGTTATCACCTAATTTTCAAAGTCTTTGGATAAATCAAAGTACATTTTGTAACAGTAAACAGAAAAATCTGTTAAAATGGTGTTGCCCCTCAGTGGCACAATGGTATGTCTGCAGTCTTATACTGCTAGAAACCAGGTTTTTGATACCTGTGGTGGGCAGAGCACAGACAGTCCTTTGTGTAGTTTTGTGCTTAATAAAAAACAATTACATAAAATGGTGTTTTATATATAATACCAGACATATAAACAACTTTTTATATGTTCATGATCAATTACTGATATAAATTCTAGCATTTAAAACTTTAAAATTTGCAACCGAGATATAATGGTAGAATACAATTGAATTACTGTACTGCATCTACCTACATTTCCTACTTTTCACAACATTTCTCATATCTACAACAGCCTATAAAACGTGTAAACAAGAGCACCTAAAATCAGCTATACATAACTTGTAAACTTATAATAAAATTAAATCAGAACCACAAGGTTATAATTTATCCATCACAGATGAAAATAAAACTTACACAGGAACAGTCAGGTTCGTTGCCTCTGGGTCAATTGCCAAATCTGAAGAAAGGGTAGTACTATTCTTGGCAGCTAGTGTTATTGCATCTTGCAATATCCCATGCATTGCCTGTGAAGCAAAGCTCAATGTTATATAAAATATGGAAAATGTTGTAACTTGCATTAATAATTATTAAATATGAACTTATAAAAAAGACAATGTAACTTATCACTTGAGTCATTACAGTATAACATTTAAATTAATTCAAGTGTCTCCACACAAAAGGTTCCCACATATTGACAATGTTTTATATAACTCTGTCATATAAATTATATAATTTATGATTATGTATAGATTTAGTTGAATAGTAGCAAATCAAAACACACAAAACTATAAACAGTACCTGTATCCTGTGAATAAGTTTTATTAAATTAGTAAAAATACTGTCGAGAGTGGCCATCCATCTCAAGATATCCAAGGTTTTCAACTGATCTGCCAGACCACTAGGAATAAATCAAACAAATTTTTATAGCTAAAAAAGATTTATTAGTACAGGTACAGCTTCTGGAACTACTAAAAATCATAGTTTTGTCCCAAAATAAAGATTATAGAAGATTATTTAAAGTGCATTTTATTCTGTTATATAAAAAATTAAAATTATTATAACAAAAAACAAAAACCCACAACACAGAAACATCATTTCATTCTTAAGAATCTACCTGATAGGTGATAAATTACCTGATTTTTGACAACATTTTGCTCTCACAGCTGAGGCCTTCTTAAGTTCATTTCTGTGGTAGCATCAGGGTCGGGCATGATTGGTTGACTATTCCTGAGTATAGTGTTCCACATTTGGTTTTTTAATATGCAAGTGAATTTCTTCTTTCTGTGTTTTACTCTCTGTGAGATCCATGGTAAAATCAGTTTACCCAAAAACACTTTGACCCAAATAAATCCTCAGCACTGAGACCAAAATATTGCCAAAAATCAAGTAATTTCTCACCCATAAAAAACATTTAAGATGCCCAAACATTATCTACACTAAAATAACATTATAGATATATAGATTATAGAATAACAGATATATAAGTAATTTAAATATTCTGTTACATGTTTAATCAATCAAAAATAATCTAATACTCAATAATAAGTCTTATTCTACCACACATTTCTGATTTAAAATTCCTTCAAGACTTGACTGAACACCAAAAGAATGTTCCTTGAATTTAAGAAAATATTGAAATATATAGTTTCTGATAATCGTTAAGCTGATTCTAAAATTCTGCTGGAAACATTAAAAAATAACATAATTCAGAAAAAAGGAGCCACATGAAACAGGTTTGACTAATAATAATCTAATCAAGAAAAAAATCCCCCAAAACAGCCACTTGAATACAGTTTAGCTAATAATCTAATCCAGAAAATAAAAACAGAAAATAGTTGACAAATAATATAATCCAGAAAAACAACAACAATGTGAAACAAATTTGACTAATAATAATCTAATCAATAAAAAAAAATAGCCACTTGAAAACAGTTTAGCTAATAATCTAATCCAGAAATAAAAGCCATGTGAAAAAGACTTGATTAACTCCTTCAGCACGGGCTCAGTCCCTGGGACTGACCTCGTAACCATTTTGTGCTTGTTATAGTTTTCATGCTATAACTTTTAGATTAGTAAGCAAATGTAACAAAATTTGGTACATTAACAGTAAACATTATAATGCTTTCATACTCAAAATATTAAATTTTTTTATTAAGTCTTAAGGTTTGTAAAGCAATGTTTTTCTCATGCCTTTTTTTTTCTTTTTGCATGTTGCTTATCTAACATGGAAGGTAATTTTCATTTTAAGATTAAAAATACTTTTATGCATCAGAAAATTTTCAAATTTAACATGCAAAATATCTATAATGTCCAGATAGTTATCAAATGTTTCTAATGAACAAACTTTATATTTTATCTTTTATTTTCAATAATGAAACTGTATAGGTTTGGTGGAATGGAACAATCTAGTAGCCACCATAAAAAATTAGTTATGCCTCTCTCATTCTAGAATGAACACAAATTATAACACGAAAACATGAATGTTTAGACTAAATAGCTTAAATCTCATAACATTATATATTTATACATATTTATTATTTTATTATATTGACCCTTCAGCCGTGCCTGGCTAACAATACAGAAGTTACAATGATGCAGCACACGAGCACTCATATTACCATATCAAATAACATAAAACTGATCTTTGGTCTTTACAAAGTAACTTGTCTTGGCTGTGTTTTAGTGAA